TGGGGCGGGGTGGGGAGATATCACAGCATCTCGGCTTCTGCCTCTGCTTCAGGGTCACAGCAGCTGCGATTTATGCATTTCCTGTAAGAAAACTAGTTTGAAGACGCATTTTCCTCTAAAATTGACCTGAATTCTAGCCCTTTTATTTTAACTAAAAGATGGCTTAATCTGGGCTGTGCAAGAAGAGAACTCTCTTATTTTTTTTTGAGGGTCTGTTCATAAAAACGGTGCTCTCTGCTTGAAAACTAGCATATCTCCCTTGGGTTTATGCCCTGGAAGTCCATGGCGTGGCTGTCATGTTCAAGCAGTGGCTTGCCCTAAGGCAGGGAGCAATGTTACGTGCTTATGGGTATCGTCTGGGGATGTTTTCCGTGGATGAAAGGGTCTAAATTTATTTCTCTTCTTCCCTCAGAGAATCTCCGGTTTGAGCTGGAGAATGACACAGGTAAGCACTGCTTGTTTATGGAGTCTGACCTTCCTGGGGACTTGTCCTTCTCGCCTGTCTGGTTGGAGGGAGTTCAAAGCAAATCCCTTGTAGGGCAGCAGGTGTTTTTTGTGAGCCTTTCTCGAGGGAATTCAAACTCCCCTGAGAACAAGGGATGGGAGGGGAAATCCTAGAGGTAGGACCTTTGAGCTCACCTCAGAGGTCACGAGAAGAGCAAGTCGTTGCCAGTGCTGTCAAGGCGAGGGCAAAGAAGCAACCCTGCTGCCGGAGAGGCCACGGAAGGGACAATCTCGCATTTGTTAGTACTCCCAACTCTGCCGTTTCCTATCCAGAAGCTGATTTGCTCTATCAGGAGCAAGCAAACCTTTGGCACGGCTGGCGGGCGTGAAGTTAGCTCAGAAACGGACTTTGCAACCTTTGTTTGCTAATAGTAATTCAGGGATGTTGTTGCAATCCCTCAGCTCGGTTTCTCTGCTTGGGGGCATGGTTGATGGGGAAGGGACAGATGAGCCCCGTCTTATTCTCAGCAGTCTCTGGGACACTGGAAGATATTTCTATCTGAGAGCCCTAGTTCCTGACAATCCCCTGGAGGATAAGAACAGCCCTTTAAGCACGAGGATCTTGTTGGTTCCTGTCTGGCAGTCTGCAATGACCAAAAATGTTCCTTCTGCCCGTGGTCTCCAAAAAATTCCTGGTCTTAGGATGAGACCATGATAGCCAGCCTCAGACTGGTGGATTTCCAGTGGAAATCCAGCCAGCATGCCCATGTTTCTCTGCCTTAATTTTAAAAAGAAGCTGACCTTTGCTCCCGTGGGGTTCTTTGAACTTCACGTGCTTAGTGCTGGTGAAGCTGAACTCTGCCCTCGTCCGGTTTTGGGCAGAGAAGACAAATCCCCTTGGAGAGCAGCTTCGCAAGAGGGTGGGCAAAGGGTCCCTTGCGCGTGCCGACGTTCACGGCTCCGTCTCTCCCTGCCCAGGCGATCTCTCTCTGGACCCGGACACGGCCAACCCCTACCTGGTGCTGTCTGAGGACAAGAGGAGCGTCCGCCTCCGGAGCGCCCCCCAGGAGCTGCCGGCCAACCCCAAGCGCTTCGACTACTCCTTCTGCGTGCTGGCAGCTGAGGGTTTCATAGCTGGGAGGCATTACTGGGAGGTGGAGGTGGGGGACGGAGACAGCTGGGTGCTGGGGGCAGCCCGCGAGTCGGTGCGGAGGAAGGAGAAAATCGACTTTGCCCCGGAGGAGGGGATCTGGGCGGTGGGGCTAAACTGGAAGGGGAAGAACTGGGATCAGTACCAGGCTTTCACCTCCCCAGAGACGCCCCTGTCCCTGTGTGAGAGGCCCAGGAAGATTGGGGTGTACCTGGACTACGAAGGCGGGTGGGTGGCGTTCTACAACGCCGATAACATGGCTCCCATCTTCACCTTCACGGCCGCCTTCACCGAAAAGATCTTCCCTTTCTTCTGGCTCTTCTATGTGGGCTCCTCGCTCTCCCTTTGCAATTGACCCATCCGGTTTCTTTAACCCCCTCCCCAAGGTGACCTGCAAGTAGTGTCTGCTCCTGTCCCCTCTTCCCCTTGCTTTCAGACAAGGTCCTAAAAAAAAAAAACCTCATCATCTTCCTGTGTTTGGCGTTGGGGGTTTCTTTTTCTTGTTGCATTTAAAAGTTTGGGTCTCTTTTTACCCTGAAAATCTTCCCCTGGGGCATCAACTGTCTGAGGGCGGACAGAGCTGGCTGCCTAAATAACCTCTATACGGGGTTATTTTCTCCTTTCCCTCCCCCCCGCTAGAGCACCCCTCTGGTCCGCTGTATAAGCGAACTTATTTGTTTTGTTATTTTGAAGTTGGCTACCCCGTGCAAAGAGGGATGTAACCGGGGAGAAAAGCCGCGCCAGGAGTTTTGTTGCTTCCCGCTTCGGTCCGTAGCAAAGCCGCTGCTCGAGCCCGAGGGAGCTCTCGAGAGGAAGGGCTTAGGAAACCAGCCCGCGTGAGGAAGGAGAGGTACCAGATCCAGCCCCTGCTTCCCGACACCGGCGCTCTGCAGGTAACCTTCGGCTTTTCCCCAATCCTTGCTTTTTCCCCTTCCTCCCGGGGCTGGGGCCAGCCCATCTTTCGCTGCCCACTAGCGCTAGAGAGCAAAAAAGAAAAAAACCAAACCCCTGTGATCCTCCCTCTCCCCCCTCCCCTTTGCTTCCTCCCGTTATTGCCGAGCATCTAGGGCCAGAGCAGAGCTGAGCGATGGGTCTGGCGGTGGCTTGGAGCTGTAACCCAGGATCTAGGCAGTTGTTGAGCTCTGGATGATGGATGCCCAAAGCTAGCAGGGGTGTAGGTATAGTGAGAGCCCTGGGAGAACAGACTGGGTTGTTTTATTTTATTTTATTATTATTATTTTTTAAAGACCTGGAGTCGTGTCTGTGCTTGGCGTGCAGGTTTTTGGGGTCGGCTTTGCGGATTTCGGTAGCTCCTGATTGCGCCCCAGGCCCTGTCAGGAGCAGTGGGGCTGGTGGGAGGGAGGAAGCCTCCCGTTTTAGGTATGATCTTGCGCGCGCTTACAAACCCCTGCCCGCCCTCGTGTGATCCCGCGATGCTGTTAACGTCTCTTTGCCCTGTCACTCTGTTTAGTGGGGAAATAAAAGTTGCTGTGCAAAAAAAAAAAAAAAAACCTACGGAGGCTCCTGCTGTGCTGTTTTGTCTCTGCCGGCTGCAGCCTTGGGGGCCTGCGGTGGGGCTCCCGTTTCTCGCCTGCTGCCGCAGGGAGGGATGAAGGGACCGGCTCAGGTCCATCTCCACCACCCTCATCCCTTGGAGCAAGCCTTTAATGCAAAGGAGGAAAAATAGATGCTCCAAAGCCTCTGACACCAGAAGAATTGTCCTAACCCATCCGCCAAGCTGATAAACCCCTCCAGCCTTCCATTTAAAACCAAAAATGACTTGGATACGCCAGCACCCAGTGATGCCATTGGCCCAGGGATGTTTTTATGAGGTGTATGTACAGCACCTGGTGCAGGCGGGCTTACATGATGCCCAGGAGCGGATATTAACCTAATTACAGCTAACAGATGAGAGCCCCAGGCTGTGATGACTGTGCAGCCTTCGAATAGGTGTTGCAAGTGACCTCGGAGGCTGCACCAGGGTTTTGCAGGTGGTGCCTGTCCTCCAGAGCCTGTGGATAAGCCAGGCTGGAAGCAACTTCCCTGCTGGAGGAGCTCCCATGTTGTGCATCATCCCAGCTGCAGATACTATCCCTGGAGGGACCCCAACCTTGGGCAAAAATACAGTGTCCGGGTGAAAGGAGAGTCCCCAGGGCTGCAACCGCTTGGTGCTGAGCTCCAGAGGGAGAAAGCAGCTGGCCGTGGGCAGGGAACTTCTCGAAGAGATGGAAAAGCCTTGCTGGGAAGACCTTCCATTGGGAAGAGCGATTAGTGCAGCCTGTCTGCCAACGTCTCCCAGGACTGTCCTGGGAAGCTGGAGCCCTTCTGGAGTGAGGGATGTCCCCCCTGCCCCGATGTTAGCAGGATCGGCCCCAGAGCGCTGGTGGGTGCTGCGAGCTGGGGCACTTCATTTTGAGATTGTCCAGGCAAAACGAGGGGGGAGAGTGGGGAGCAAAGTAAAATATAGAAGGGATATTATTGAATTTGGAGTGGGAAGCTTCATGCAAAACACACATTGCTCCATCTGCTCCCTCGGGGAAGGTCCCATCCCACCCCGGAGCAGTGGGTACCACGGCTGGAAGTGATGCTGAATGGAGATGGGGATGTGGACAGCTCCCAGTGAAGCATCTTTTGGGGTGCAGCTCCTCGGTGAAGGTCCTGCAGCCCTGGAAGGAAAAAGGTCCCCAGTCAGGACCTGATGATGTTTGTCCCCAAAAAATCAGGATTTTTGGCAATCCCCTTGATTTCCCACTGGGATCGTCCAGCTCTTTCCCGGTTGCATCCTTGGCATCCCTCTTGGAGCAAGGGCCTCCCAGCTGGCACCAGAAAAACGGGAACTGGCAAAGCATTAATCCAGGAAGTTTGACGCTCCGCGAGCTGGTGAGCAGTCGAGTGAGACTCTGGCCCCAAACCAGGGCCCTCTACTGCAGAAAGGCTTGGTGGGAAAGGATGCAAACCTTTTGGGGGGCGGCGGGAGACAAGGGGTTTTCACCCATCCTAAGAATCAAAATTCCTGCCTCTAAAACCCCTCGGCTCTGCTGCAGTCAGCAATATATACTCTTTCTTTTAAGCGCTAGTATAGGAAATAATCCCTCCACTGCTTTCTCACCAGCTTCTATGTCATTTCTAGAGCCAAAAACAGCAGTAGCAGGTTCACGGTTGGGACCAGACCAGAGAATTTCAACTGCAGCTGGGAAAAGTTGAGTCACATCCAGGGAGCTTGGATTTCCCAGGCCAAATTACCCTTTTATTACTACATTGAACAGCAACACCGTGAGCCTCAGGGCAGTTTGCACTGTGCAAGGCGATTTAAACCTTCTGCCTCTTATAAACTGTGCTGCCTACAGGGCACCAAGGTGAGAGATTGCAAGGTGGTGGTGGTGGGGGGGGGAATACACTTTTACGCAAAATAATTCTTTATTGTGGAACCTTCCCGAGTTGGAGATGAAGCGCCTGCTCCCTCGCGGGGTGGCTTTTGCTTTTGTGGGCTGCCACGTTGTCCTTCTTCTCGAACTTCTTGCCGCAGAGGTCGCAGGAGAACTGGTAGAAGGCGTCGGCGTCGTGCTTCTTCATGTGCCAGTTGAGGGAGGCTTTCTGGCGGCAGGTGAAGCCTCAAATCCCACACCTGGAAGGCAAAAAAGGACAGGATTTAACAAAGAAAGCAAAGAGAGACAGACAGGGAAGCACGGAGGGATATAGGAATATATTCCCCATTGGGAATGTGAGCTATGCTGTTCAATGCAGATAAAGACTTTGTGGGAGGTGGTTAGGGAGGACTGGCCTGGTCTCAGCCTGCTGTTAAGGGCAATATGACGTGGGACGCGACAGGATTTAGTTAGCTTGGCTTTGCAAGAGAGCTGTGCTAAGCTGGCGCTGCGTGGCTTCAGCACACCCTAAAGGCAAGGAAAAGTACTACCATGATTTTTTTTTTCTACTGTATTAAGCTTCCGTAAATCAAGCACGTGTCTCAACTCCACGGTCGAGACGCCCTTGTCTAGGTAAGACCACAGCCGGCTCCCATGCCAAAACCTGGGGCAGAAAACTTTGGGCAAACCAGAAATAATACCCAGTCAAATCCTCGCCCCTCAAGGAGGGACTGCGCTGTGCGTCTCTGCCCTGGAAAAAGGACTGCTCTTCCCGACCTGCTTTCCCTGATGGACACATCACTGCACGGACTATCATCGCATCTCCTCGTACGCTTACCCTTTCTCCAAAATCCGACCTCAACCCTGCAGGGGGATTGCCCAGCTCTTTGATCGTCCTTGTCCTCCGTCCCTAAACCTCGCCCCCTCGTCATCCCGATCGCCGCTTCTGCAACGCGCCCCTGAGAGGCGGGAATCAGCAATGTGAAGTTAGAGTTGAAAACTGGACTATTGCTTTACTGTGATCATTTCTAAGGCTCTTGGGACCATCTTTCATCTCAATCAGAGCGAAAGAAGGAAAATCTGGGTGACCAAATGTAGGTGTCAATGTGTAGACACCTCCTACTGAGCTGACACTCTGCCTGCGCTGTATAATTAACGGTGAGAGCCTGGCTGCCACCACAGAGAAGCCAAATTTGGGGCGAAACGTTACGTGGGCGAAGCAGAAGACAGCCAGCAACCAGAGATCATGTTGCTGGGTCCAGAAGGGCCTGGTACTTACTGAAGGGGTTTCTCTCCCGTGTGGATGCGTCGGTGGATGATCAGATTGCTGCTGGTGCGAAAGGACCGGGCACAAAACTCGCAGATATAGTCCCGCTTGTCTGCAGGGCGGAAGAGAGAAAGGATTAGGGGCTGCTCTGATCGAGGAGGAGGAGGGTTAGGACGCTTTCCCAACCCAGAAACAGAGAGGAGCGAGGGATTTACGGGAGGTCTTGGGAGCGGAAAGCAAGCTGGCGCATTAACATCTCCAAGGAGACCAAATTAGGGAAAGGGAGTGGAAGATTAACGCTTGGGATGTGGGTATGGTCAATTGGAGGCCAAGGGTGCTGCCACCAGCCCAGGAGAGGACTTTGTGTGCAAGAAAGACATAATAACAGACTTGGAGGCTAGACAAAGCTCAAACAAGGAGGTTGTGGTCCAGGGTGGTTCAGGTTAGAAGGACATCAGCAGAGAGGTGTGCTAGCCAACTCACCGCTGTGCAGCTTCTCGTGCTCCTTGAGGTGCTTCTTGAAGTTGAAGGACTTGCCACAGCTGGGCTCGGAGCAGGTGAAGGTCTTCTGGTGGACATGCTGGTACTTCTTGTGATGCTGCCATTTTGGGAGGGGAGAAAAGGGGCAGGAATAAGCAGAGAAGAGGGTCACTTGTGGCCTGAGAAAGCCCTTTCTGAGAACGCTATGCTCAGAGGAACCCCAGGCCCACTTTCCAGCTATCACCTCTCTGCTTTGCTCCCTAACCCAAATGCTGCTAACTAAGGCAGGTGGCCTCAACCTCTCCTCTCCCCACCCCATTGTCCTCACGTTCAGGTACTGGCGGTTGGAGAAGATCTTCCCACAGCCTTCAAAGTCGCACAGGAGGATCTCACGTTTTGCTGCCTTCCTGGAGAAGAGGGGGAAAGGATGGAGAGCTGGTCGCGAAATGAGAGCTGCGAAAGCTGGGCCACATCATCACCCGCTATGTGGATCATAAGTCCTTCTTGCCCTGCCTTCCTTCAGGATCGCCTACTGATCCATCAAAAAGCAAATTTAAGCAGATAAAGTCCTTCAGGAGTCTCTGTCCAGGTTGTCCTGGACCAGAGTGTCCCACCATGGCGTGCATGGCACAAGGGACTAAAGCTGCTCCTTCCTCCCATCTTCCCAAAAGGCTAGAAAACCAGCATGAGTCCCAGTTCCCACCGCGCCGGCCTTTCCCGTGTCCCCTCGCTACCTGATTCTCTTCGGGCCGATCTGGGCCACGTCCTCATCACGCATCCCCGCTCGCTTCTTGCAGCTGCGAGAGGAAAGAACTTGTCTGTGGGGGGAAAGCCAGGAGGTCTCTTCTCCCATCTGTCCCCTCTCCCTTCCAGCGAGAGATGGAAGAGCTTCACTCCCAGCCAGCCCATCCCCAGGGGGGGCTTTGGAAAAAGCTCGGGTTGCAGAGACGCAAAGGGCAAAAATTATTGGTGGGGAGAAGCGAGGAGGATGGAGCATCAAACACTATGGGGAACTGACCTCATGGGGCAGCCAAGCGGGACAAAAACAACAGTATATTCAACCTTATATTAAAAAAAAAAAAACATTCCAGACAATCATTTTGCTTTCTTATAGCTTGAAAATCAGTTTAAACGTTAACTTGCCATCACAGCATGGGGAATGATACTGTTAATAAAAGCAGCTTTCAGACGCTATAAATATGTATACTTTATTATTCGTTACAAAATCTTTAACATGTTTTTAGAAAAAATTCTAATACATTTAAGATTGCTGTCACCATCGCGTTAACCTCACGGAGCGTTCTCTGTACCGCAATGCCCCCTCGTTCGCGTCAATGTAAGTCTGAGCTGCAATTTTTCCCGGCTTTGATTTTTCCCAGCTTTATCCACAATTCTGTAGAAACACGGCGGCTGTTTCTGGCCTGAAATTAGAAAAAGAGACCGTAGAGGAACAGGTCTGTTTCTGCAGAGGGGAGAAAGAAAGGGATCATTCATGGGCAATGATGCCAGGCCACCGCTTTGGGACTGGATTAGAGTATAGGCTGTGTGTCTATAATCTCTTTAAAAATGTTTTATCTTGATAGCTTTACCTTAGAGAGGCTAGAAGAGGGTTTGCAGAAGGAACATGAGTCCAGTGGAATCTGGAGGCTCTCTCTCCTTTGCACAAATCTTTAGTCTTTTTCTCCATTTTTCCAGCTGCTGCTATAAAACAAAAAAAAAAAAAAAAGGGAAGAATTTAGACAGTTAAAGGCCAAACCGTGACACATGCAATCACGCTCAGCCTTTAAGCCTTAAAAAGGACAAAGTTTAGGCAAGGGTTTGATGTGTCGAGAGGGGTTAAACATTGCAACACTGCACCGATTGCAGCAACTTGCCCAAAACTAACCTTCCTGCCCTCCAGGAGAACTCAAGTAGCCGACGAGCCCCGCGTTACAGCTCAAACAGCGGACGGAGGAGAAGAAAAGCAAGATTTACCATCGTATTTTCTTTTGCCTGAACCGACTCTTTGAGAATGCCTTCTCTCTTTCTTGCAAGCTGCCGCTTGGTTTCAAAGCCACTGCAAGACACAAAGGAGGGAAGTTTAGCACAGCACTGAAGTGACTATAACATGCCAAAATGAAAAAATAACACCTAAAAGCCTTAACTGAGCAGCATGACACTTACTTGGTGAGTTTTGGGGCGTATATTTTGGGGTTGTTCCGTGCTTTCACAGGACGCACAAAGGCGAGATTCATTGTACGGCAGCAGAGTGCTAAAGAGTGGCTCCAGCTACCTCCGAAGCCAAAAGGGGGTTTTAACGCCCTCGTTTGATTTCAAAACGTCAGCTACTCCAGAAAGCTGATGATTCCTCGCTTGCGCGTTAGGCCCAAGAAGCAAGATACGGGACCATCCTTTTGTTTCGGCATCAAGGCCAAAAACCCATAGTGTGACCGGGGATGACCCAGCAAAGCTCCCCGACACACTCGGGGGGCTGAAACACGAGATTTCAGGGTGACACGCTGCAGCCTGACCCAGACGCTCACCTCTTCTTCAGGATCGGCCGGGCAAGGAGGAGATTTGCCGTGGCTGACGGAGAAGTCCCCTATGTGGGAACCTATAGGCAGAGACGGTTTCTTGAGCAGTCTCCATGCTCGTATAGGGAGGAGGGATTGGAAGCCTGGACTTTTGGTGCTGCAAACCTCCAGTGAAACCAGGTTGCTTGAAGACTTTATGCACTTGAAATGAAGGTTCCAAAACTCACTTAAAAACAGCAGTGGTGGTTTAAGAGGTCTTCCTCACCCTTTTTTCAGGTAAGTACTGCCTCAGTAGCAGACTTAAGAGGGAACACATCCTTTTTTCTCAGCTGTCCGAGTTCAGAGACCAGCTCCAGGGTGTGAACTGAAGCAACTGGCACATGCACAGATGCAAGGAGATACGGCGGACAAAAAAGATGCCAACTTCTTAAGTCCCTGCAGCAAGACGTGTGTGCCAGAGCCCCTCTGTTGGAGAAGGCTGTCAAGCTTTTGGCACCAGGGCAATGTCGCGTGGAGACTGCGCATACAGCTGCGCGGGAGAAGAATTCAATGCCGGTGTTCTTCTACCGTGATGCACTTCAGCATCTCCCTTTCCAGACAAACAGCTCTCGCCCTGCTACAGCTCAGGGCCTGAACTTCAAGTGAAGGCCACCAAGAGACGGATGAAAAAAGAGCGCCGAGAGACGGGTGCCGCAATCCCCTCCCTGGCTCTCGCCTCACTAACACTCACCTGACTCGCCCACCCTTCTCCTCCGTGGGGCTGGCATCAGCTGGGCTGGTCTCGGCGAGGGGTCGCTCCTCCTTTGCGGGTTTCTTGCGGGCCTTGCTCTGGCTCTGTCGTCTCTGCAGCTCGGAGTCACTGGGAGGCGAGACGGACACGGGCTAGGCAAGGATATGCGTGCAGGTGGTAAAATACGGCACACCCGAGGGGGAAGAACCTCACCAGACCAAGATGGAATAAGAGAAAGTGCCTTTTGAGCCCATAATTCTAACCAGCTATTCACCTGTCCAGAGAAGGGTGGTAGTTCTCATCTCGCAGATCGTCGGTGTAGGCAAGGTCATCTTCCTCAGCGAAGTCCTCGTCCTCTTCTTCGTCCTCTTCTTCTCGGGGCTCGGAGCCCTGCTCCAGTTTCTCCTGTGAAACAGGCGTGCTGCGGGAATTCAACAGCCGGAGTTAGCGCTGCTGAAATGAGCAGGGAGCAAGTTGAGTATAGAGAAAGAAGTGGCCGTTTTTAATGGTTTTTAATAGAAAAAACTCAATTAAACTCTGACTGTCATTGGAGGCTGTGGGCACCAGAAGACAAAAGCGTTCAAGAGCCCAAACAGATGGGTCCAGGGGCACCCTTCAGCTCCGAAGACCCCAATTATCAGAGTTTATATACTGAGGGAAGATGCACAGCGCAGCCCCTCTTCCTTTTCCCCGAGCTTTCCCTATGGGAGGACAGATAGGGGGCTGAACGGCGCAGCGGCGTGGCCCAATACTACACGCATGCGTTCCTCATCCACAGCTCTCACAGAAACTTTCCAATGCTTTTATCTCATCGCCTCCCCTTCCCCAAGGAGGGATGCCAGACAGTACGACCGGTCACGGCACGCTTGAGAACTGAGGACATCACGTTACCCGCAAGCATTGACGGGTGGTGACCCCTAGAAGGGCTGCTCTGAGAAGGTAAGAGCCACCACTCACCTCTCTCGACCTGCTGCTGCGGTCCCCGTCTCCGTCTGTGTTTGGGGAGCTGTGAGGAGAGGGAAGGAGCCACGGTAAGTTAAGGCAGGAGACGGGCTCTCGTAGCTGGGATCTTGGGAGAGGCAGAGGAAGGACGAGCAGTTAACAGCAGAGGAGCGGACAGGCTTGGGAAGAGGGCTGAGAAACCTGCAGGCTCTGGAAAAGTTTCATTTTCTCCCATCATCTGTGACTGGCGAGATGAAATGAGGGCCAAGTTATTCCACAATATTCCAGAGGGGGAGCTTCTCAACCTCTCCTAAAGCTGGGCCACAGAAAAAGAAGACTAGGAAAAACAGAACTATAGTCTCTCCCTGCTCTTCAGTCTGGTTAAAGGACAAGAGCTCTGGCTGTTGAGGTCCTGGAAACTCCTGAGAGAAATATCTAGATGGGGTCAGGAAGATCTCATCAGGGACAGATCTTGCTCCTTGTCCTCCTCCCGTGGAGGACCACGAATGTTCAGGAACAGCCTGTATACAAATGGCAGGACCCGGTGTCCCACATTTCTCAGGGGAAGGACAGGCGCTGAGAAGACGTGGACTTCTTTTGGGGTAGGCACAGCAATGGGACTAGGTTCCTCTAGCAAAGCCCCAAACGTTATTAATTTATGCTGGTGCTGGTGCATCTCACACAAGAAGGAGCCAACAAGGTCCCAGAGGGAAACTGTCCAACTTGCTCCCGGGACTGGCAGAACAGCTGGAGACAGGGAATCCATTAGAGGTCAAGGGAATGGAGAAAGGGAACACAGGTTCCTTCCCGGTCGGGGGACGGGAGGGAAAGTTGTCCGTAACCGCTCGCTCCTGAACTCACCTGCGTCAGCGTTGCTGCTGCCGGCTCCTGGCTCTTCCCTCTGGTCCGCGTCGCCGGCAGGCGACAGGGTTTCCGTCCTCTCTGGTTCACCTCCGTCCTTCCTCGGGCTGGGCTCTGCCTCCCTGGCTGTCTCGCAGGGCTCTGCGGCGAGGCCCACTCGGCGGAGCGAG